TTCTAGCCTGCAAAGTCTCTGTTTGAGAAATCAGCTGACAGTGTTATGGGAGATCCATTTTGGGTTACTAACTGCTTTTCTATTGTTTCTTTTAAGATACTCTCTTTGTCTTTAACGTTTTGTTTTTAATTATGGTGTGTCTTGGTGTGAGAGTCTTTGGGTTCACCTAGTTTGGGACTTTCTGTGCTTTCTGGACTTGCATGTCTATTTCTTATACCAGGTTAGGGAAGTTTTCCGTCATTATTTCTTTTTCTTTTTCTTTTTTCAAATAGGTTGATAGTTCTTTGCTCTCTCTCTTCTCCTTCTGGCACTTCCATGATGCATGCCAGAGGCTCCTTAAACTATCCTCATGTAATCTTCTTTTTCATTTTGCTGTTCTGGTTGGATGTTTTCTGCTTCCTTACCTCCAAATTGCTGATTTGATCCTCTGCTTCATCTCCTCATACTGTTGATTTCTTGTAATGTATTCTTCATTTCAGATATTGTATTCTTCATTTCTGACTTATTCTTCTTTATGTTTTCTATGTCCATTTTTATGTTTCCCATCTCTTTGTTGAAATTTTCATTAAGTTCATGTACTCTTCTCCTAAGTTCATTGAGCATCCTTATAACCATTGTTTTGAATTCTATATCTAGTATATTGCTTGTCTACATTTTCTTTAGTACTTTTTCTGGAGTTTTGTTATTTTCTTTCAGTTGGAACATGTTTCTTTGTCTCCTCATTTTGCTTCCTCCCTATGTTTATTTCTTGTATTATGTGGAGCTGGTATGTCTCCCAGGCTTGGTAGAGTGGTTTTATGTAGTTGGTGGTGCAGCCTCCTTGGTCACCTGAGCTGTGCTCCAGGCCCCCCTCTTGTGTGGGCTCTGTGAACCCTTCTATTGTAGTTGAATCTTGATTGCTGTTGGCACATCAATTGGATGGATTTACCTCCAGTCTCCACTCTTCTTACAAGTGTCTGTGTGGCTTCTTCTGTACCAAGGGGTTGTAATATTACAGATCAGCAAATCTTCAATTATTTTTTTAGGTTGTATGTTCTGTAATTTAGTTGTGATTTCAGTTTGGGGTTGGGAGCAAGTGGGATCAGCTTCTAGCTACTCCACAGCCACCTTGGAACCTCTTGCAATGGATCTTAAAACTTCTTTCCAGCAGTTGCTATTTTACTTGAACTAATAATTTACTGTTTAAGCAAGTCACATGACCACACCTGACATCAACAGGAAGAGGAAGAACAACTATTCCACAGGGAGGGGCATAAAATTTTTGGAAACAGTAATAAACTCTCTCTTAGTCCACTTTGTGGTCACAAAAATTCACTTACCTCATTTGTGCATCCCAAATATAGTAAATGTTAAAGTTCTTCTCCAATAGAAACAACCTAAATGTCCTATTTAATCAGGTTTACAGTCCAGTAATATATGAGTCTTCACATTAGGTCTAAGTATGATCTCTCTTGAGCTGGAGGCTTATTAAAAAGAATATTAAAAGGTCACTTTTTAAATTCCCCATATTCTACATAATTAATGAAGAATAGAGACAAGATAACCATGACAAATATTCCCATTTGAAAAAGAAAACAATGTGAGACACAAGAAGACACTTGTAGTTGTCAGATGTTCATGGGAGAACTATACCTTTAGTTTCTTATCCTTAATTATTTTGTAAAACTAAATAAATCTGTCCACTATCTTTCTTCCTTTACTTTTCTCCTTTCTTCTTCTTCTTCTTTTCTTTTCTTTTCTTTTCTTTTCTTTTCTTTTCTTTTCTTTTCTTTTCTCTTCTCTTCTCTTTTCTTCTTTCTTTCTTCTTCTTTCTTTCTCTCTTTCTTTCTTTCTTTCTTTCTTTCTTTCTTTCTTTCTTTCTTTCTTTCTTTTTCTTTCTTTCTTTTCTTTTCCTTTCTTCTTTCTTTCTTTCCCTTTAATTTGGTCTTTAAAATGAAGCAATTAGCCTTTGTGTTCATGTATATTATTTACCAGTTAGAAGTAAAGGCAAGTTACATTTTCTACTTCTGTAATGCCTAAAATTTCTAGACTCTTACAATTTTTTCTCCCAATTATCTTGTAAATTGGCTAATTATTTCATGTGCTCATCTCTTTCTTATAGCACCTTGCCAAAAAACCAGCCAATAGCAACCAATTTAATTTAGGTTATCAATATTCTTTTCTTTAGGTCTTTGTTTGAAATCACAACTTATTGCAGGGTCAGTTTTACCAAATACGTTACTGCATAACATAGGTTATTTTCTTTCTTCAAAAAAAGTTTTTCTTGCTGGTAGATTCATATCTGGTTTTACATATTTTTTAGGGTACTGTTCTGGTTATACTCTATTTCTTGTAACAATTTTTCTGTCTGATTAGCTTAGACCAGTGATTTTCAACCAATGTGCTGCAAGAATTTTTAAAACTTGCAATACCAATACTTAACTATTTAGTCAGGGGTACTGACTTATTTTTCATTAGATTGTCAAATTAAAAAAATGACAAAGACCAACACAACAGTAGCCATCTGGTGTGGATGAATCAAAATTATACCTATTTTTTTTGTCAAATCAGCAAAAAATATATTTTTTGGTGTGCTACAGAATTTTAGGAATTAGTTTATATGTGCAATGAGATGAAAAAAGGTGAAAATCATTAGTTTAGACTAAAATATAGTAACAAATTATTTGGAAATCTCAATGGCTTTAACAAGTCTTTATTTATTATTTATGGTGCCTGTATATCATTTTCTTCTGACTCCATACCTATATCTTTTTGACTAGAGATTTTGGCTGATTAAAAAATCCCATCTGAGACACTGCTGGGCTTGTGGCTGCAGAAACCATTCAAAGGCACTCCACACCTCTGCTGAATGGTGGCTTGTGCCAATTTTAATGACATTTTATTGACCAAAGGAAGTCACATGACCAAGTCTATATTAAGCAATAATGATTCTAAATCAAGGTCATTTCCCTTATTAACTCTGTGACTCTGTACAATTTTCCTAACTTTTCTGAGATTCTGGTTCTTTATAAGACTTTTGAAAAGGTATCTACAGAGACATGTAACACCCCAAGACGTCCAAAAGGAGTATAATGTGTTACATCCATTTGCCAGATATGGTCCCTTAGCAAACCTCTAGGGTTGACTCCTGTGTTAGGCCCTTGAGGTAGATGTAACATGCAACTGGGACATTCCTTGATAATCTGTTTTGCTTTCTGTCGCCTTCACAAGGATGTAAAGTGATCCTTTTTCATTAATATTTACAGTGTAAATTAAGATTATTGTTAAAATATTAAATTTGACAGCAAAATAGTTTTCAAATTAATTAAAGTCAAGTTTTCAAATTAATTAAATTTGGCTAATTTGAAATAAGTAATTGTTCAAAAAAGTATTACAGAAATTTTCATTTCGTGGTAAACATGCTATGAACCTAAAGCATGTTCAGGTTCATTTTTTTTGTGCAAAAAATTAATACTTAAAGCTATCTAGACTGCATTATAAAATTTCCAAAAATCTCCTAATTAAATAAAAAAGGGAGATAGTGGAAAAGTGCCATGTAAGGAAATAGATCCTGTAACTAAATTACATTTAGAGAAAAAAATTTTTTCGTTTATAATGCTAATAGCGAGACACCCAGGAAAAACACACATGATGACAGGGTAAGCCAGGGAAAGATCATTTTAAAGAAAAAAACCCAAGTAAGGTTTTTCCTTTAACCTTTGGTCAAGAATATGTTTGTATACTTTCAGAGAACAGCTACAAGACCATGTGGATTCCTGTAACA